GGCGGCGGCGGCGGCGGCGCCCACACGCGTCCCGTGGCGCCCGGCTCCGTGAGGCGCCGCGTGTCCCTCGCCGGCTGCCGTCCGCGGCCCTTCCCTGCGGCGCGCCCGCCACTCGCCGGCCCCGATCAGCCCACCGCGACGTCACCGGGCCGCCCCGCCCCTTCCACGCCCGCCGCCATCTTGGGAGAGGCGCCCGCTCCCGCCACGCTTCTCCGCACGAGGCCCCGCCCCCGCCCCCTCCCCCTTTGAATTCGGGGCGCGCGGTGCTGCGCGCTCCCGCCTTGCCCGGCGGCCTCGTGCGCGCGGGGCCCGCATCCCGGCGGGAGCAGCCCGGGAGCCGTGCCGGTGGCGCGTGCAAAGGCCGAGCTGGCCGCGCATGGTGGGCGTTTTCGTCCAACACGGGTCAGAGCCGGCGCGGTCGAGCCCAGCCCCCCGTCCACCCCGGGCCCGCTGCCGAGCCCTCCCGGAGCCGCCCGCGCGCATCTCGGGCCGCGCGCCCTTGCGGGGAAGCCCTTCCGCGCCGCGTGCCTCGCCGCGGCGCCGCGCGCGCGGGTGCGGGCTGCACCGTTTCCGGGCAAGGGCGTCGTAGGGAAGGGCGGACGCGCGTCTGCGCACGCGTCGCGTGCCCGCCGCTTCTGCTCGGCCCCGCCCGCCTGCGCGCCTGCGCCTGCGCCAGCCGCGATTCAAACGGCGGCGGGAACGGCCGGAGCGGCGAGCGTTGCGTTGCCCTGCAGCCCGCCCGCCGGCTCTTCCTCGGCGCGGGACGCGGCCATGGCTGCCCGGGAGGCCCTTGCGACGCCCGCCAAGGCTGCGCGGCGCGGGGAGCACGGTGAGGCCGCGCGCGGGGTCCTGCAGCCTGCCGGGCCGCCGGGAGCTCTTCGGGCGCCGCTCCCCGCTGGGCTCGGCGCGGCTCGGGCGTCGGGCATCCGCGGGGGCGCGTCCGGGGCCGGGGCCGGGGCCGGGGCCGTCCGGGCGAAGCCGGGCCGGCCAGCGGACCAGCCTCTCCCTTTGTCTCCCCGCTGCAGGTCAGGGCCCCCCGTCCGTGGTCATCCCGGCCTCGCCCTTCATGCAGACGCTCGGCTACGGCACCGGCGTCCACGTCTATCTCATGAAGCGGTACGTGGCCTCGCGCGGCGCCGGGAACTCGCCCCGCGGGGCGGGGCAGGGCGCGCGCTCGAGCCGAGGGGCGCCGTGGCTTCGGGAGGGCTCCGCTCGCCGGCTGCCCCGGCTCGGAGCGCTGCGTGGCGCCGTCCTGGCCGGGGGCCCCGCATTCAGGGGCCCCCAGCAGGCAGGGACGCCCGACAGCCGTGCCCGTTTGCCGCAGGTCCCCCAGAGGAACGGCTCGTTCTCCCTGGGCCGTGAAGAAGCTAAACCCCAAATGCGACTCCAGCCGGCAACGTACTTATCAGCAGAGACTGAATGAAGAGGCCCGAATTTTGAAGACTCTTCACCATCCAAACATAGTGGGTACGTTCAAGTGGGAAGATGGGCGGCTCGTTTATCTGAACGGCCCCGGAAGCTTTGCTGAAGGTCTTTATTTTACAGTAAGAACATGGATATTTTAAAACTATGCCAAGAATGCAAAGTGCCCCCCTCCCAGCCAGTTTCAAGACCTTGCTTATCGAGGCTTGAATTATTACTGCAGTGAAACACGGCGGAAGGTAGTTGGATGGGGGATAAATCACATACAAAAAGTAAATGAATATTACGAAGATTTTGTAAAAGCAGTACTGATAGAAAGCAAAGGCTGTAAACCCAATCAAGATTATATGAATTTCTGGAGGGGATATGGGTATAATTGAAGTATATTATTGTTATAGTATGCGCATGATGGTAGTATTGGTCTCCAGGGTGGTGGGTGCACGCTTTCATTTATTTTTTTAAATTATTGTGTTCTTGTTACATTATTATTGTTGCGATTGTTTTTTTTCTGTCTAAAAAAATAAAGGGGGGGAATAAATAGCATGTGTGTTTCCGAAGGGTATCGCGCATTTGCGGAAGCCAGAGACGGGAGCATGTGCCTTGCCATGGAATACGGAGGAGAAAAGTCTCTCAACGACCTCATTGAGGAGAGGCGGGCCGAGCGGCAGGGGCCCCTCCCAGCTGCCACCATCCTCAAGGTCGCCCTGTACATGGCAAGAGGGCTGAAGGTGGGCCACACAGCCCTGGGCAACGCTCGAGGGTGCCTGACCTTGCTTTAGTTGGGACAGCCGGGGGTGGGGGAGAGGGCCTTTTGAAGAGGCAAAACTGGGCCGGGACAGTCCGAGATCCACGGGAGGGTGTGCATTCATAGGTTGCCCTAAGTTGGAGCTGACTGCACGGCACATAAGTGTAAGAGCAAGGCCTGACCGTTGGTGCCGTGTGGGAATCGGGGCCAGGTGGGCATTTCTGAAGAAGGGCGGAGTGGGCCTGGTGAGAGTGGTCCGGGAGCTGTGCTGTACGGAAGACAGCGGGGAGGGGCTGCACTTCCCTGGCTTGGCATTTTCTACTGACCCCCCCCCCTTAATCGCCTTCGAAAACCCTCTGCTGTTCGGCAGTGCTGCCGTAATTCGAACCTGTTCTAACTCCTCGACCTGCCCACCCATCTCTTCCTGCCCTTCCAAAGCTCTGGAGCTCAGGAATTTGAACTTGGGGCTTGTGCCAACATAACCATTTAGAGAAGTGTCTGTCCAAGCGGAGTGCCCCGAGGAATTTAGCAGGGTCCTGAAGGCAGGTGGGCCTTGAACCTGTTCATTCTGCCTCCCTTAGCAGTGCTTGGCACTCCGCAGGGCATTTCCACAAGGTGTTACGTTAAAGCTCACACCTGCTTTGAAATGGCCCCTCTGTCCAGCCTCACTGGGAAGCGGGAGCCTTGCGTTGACCTCCTCCTTGCCTTCCAGTATCTTCACAGCGACAAGAAGCTGCTTCATGGTGACATCAAATCTTCCAATGTTGTTATTAAAGGAGACTTTGAGTCCATAAAGATTTGTGATGTGGGAGTTTCACTGCCTCTGGATGAGAACATGACGGGTAGGTTGCACTGGTGCCCTCCCTTTATTTCTGGGGGCCAAGCAGTCCACATCACCTGCTGCCTCGGCACACCAGGAGGGGGTGGTCCCCTGGGCCTTTACAGGATGCTCGTGCTGTGGCGGCCACCTGCCAGCCGTCCCGGTGAAAGATGCAGGGTCTGTGCAAGAACACAGCTGCCCGGGCTGCGGTCTCTTCCAAGACGAGCCGTGCGGGACAGGGAAAGGTTTGGCTGCAGAGCCACCTGAGGATGAAGAAAGGAGCCGCTTTGCCACGTCGCCTCCAAACCCCCCTCCTTTCAGAAGGGGACGGGGAAAGGAAGCATTTTCAACTGAGCAGCAGGAGGGGCTTATGCCTCCTCATCCTTTCCTGCTTCTGTTCTTGATGCGTACTGCATCCGTACGCTGCCTGGTGGTGGAAGCATCCTGGGCAGGCCACAGCGCGTGGCAAGGCAGATCTGAACTCCATCTCCAGAATAAGCCCACTTGCACGGGGCGCCCTGGATAGCTCCTATAAAGCTGCACGCATCAGGAGCCCCGCTGGTGGGAGGAACCGGCCTTTCCGCTCAGCAGCTGTGCCAGGGCAGACCGGCCCTGGCAGCCCGCCCAGCCGCTGAGGGCCAGAGCTGCTCTTGGCCGCCCTTTTCCATCCGGGTGACTCCCAGCTGCTCTCCTCTTGAGGATGTTTAAATGATTGTTTAACTTTACCGCTCTACAGCTGAAGTGCTCTGGGTGGTTTACAACAATGTGTAATGCAGTACAATCAAACTATGCTACAAAATTTAAAACCCAGTTTGAACAAGTGCAACCAGCTGCACACATTGAGAACCGAGAGCTGTGAGCCGGGTGACTGCGCCCCGCTCGGCTGTTTGAGCTGATTAAACATCCTTGCAAGGTGGACAGTCGTACCTGGCGCTGCAAGGGGAGTAGGGCAGGCCCCGGGGGCGGGGGGAGCTCGTTCTGCACCTGGGCCGCTCCTTCTGAGCTGTGCCTCTTCCCAGTTGTTGCAACGGAGCCCTCCCCCAGAGGCAGAGATCCAGGCCGGAGGCAGCGGCCAGATCCCGACGGCAGCCAGAAGAGGCGCTCTGTCGGGCGCGGTGGTCCCGAGCTGTGTGGGGCGGCCCGTCTTCCCGGTCCTGGCTGCACCATGCCCCGGCTGGCCTGGAGAAGGCGAGGGGCACAGCAGCCCCACCTGGAGCTGGCCATCCCGGCAGGGCCGGGTCCTGAGCTTGAGGATGGGGCGCTGCATCGCCCTGGCCTGTCTGTCCCCATGCAGTGAGTGACCCGGGCGCTGCGTACGTGGGCACGGAGCCCTGGAAGCCCAAGGAAGCTCTGGAGGTCGGTGGGGTGATCACCGACCGGGCGGACATCTTCACGCTGGGCCTCACTCTGTGGGAAATGATGACGCTCTCCGTGCCCCACCTGAACTTGCTTGGAGATGATGATGATGATGGTATGTCTCGTGAGGGCTCCTCTTGGGCCAGCTGAGCAGTGGATGATGGGGTTGACCGTTGGTTGCACTGACCTTGGTCTGCTCCTGGGTGGCAAACTTTCATTGGGGTGAAGCCAGCCGGGCACAGGGCAGCTTTCACGCAGCAGGGGATGCCTCCCCATGCACATGAACATTGCAAGGGAAATTTTGATTATTTTGTATAAAGTGTATCTTGAAGCAACCTGCAGCATGCTGCTCCTGTTGCAGAACACCCCTCCCTACCTTGGTATCCCCTTAACCCCAGTCCTGATGCGACGGGGAAGCTAGGCATGTGAGGTACGTGCCTTTGTTCCAGCTCTGGGAAGTGGCTCCTTCTAACCCACTGTGCTGTGTTCCCAGAAGCTTCTTTCGACGAGGACGACTTCGACGAGGACGCCTACTATGCGGCCCTTGGGACTCGGCCACCCCTCAACATGGAGGAGCTGGGCCCCTCGTACCAAAGGGTCATTGAGCTTTTCTCTCTCTGCACCATGGAAGATCCAAGGAAGCGCCCTGCCGCTGCCCAGATAGTGGCTGTCCTGGAAGCGGAGGGGCTTGCCCAGTGAGTCCGGCAAAAAAGCTCCACAAATGGCCTGAGAAGAGAGAGCGACTGTATTGCATGAGAATGTAACATTTTCAGGTTTCCATAATTATAATTAGAACTGGAACTAGAACCATGTTCCACTTTTTAACCATTTAGAAGGTGCAAACCAGAAATGACTGGTTCAGATAGATTGTTTCACGACTTGTCTTCAGTGGTATCTTTTTTTCCTCCTGACCTGCGGATAAGCCGACGTTGACAGAGGGGTCTTGGGTAGACGAGTGCTGCAGCAATATATGTAGAGAGCACCATTGTAGCTTGTCCCCCACCTCTGCTTCTTTGCATTTGAGTTCCGGTTCAGGTGTGTGTGTGACTCACAGATTATTAGCACTTGCGGTAAGGTGTGATCACCAGCAGTTGGTTGTGGGAAGAGCCTTCCTGGTCAATTGGTGGGCGTGGCTCTCGTTCACTGGGTGTCCTGCAAAGTTCAGTCTCCTTTTGGGAAAGTGGCTGGCTTGTTTTCCTGGGACCCTTCTCTGTCCAGAGGCAGCAGGTTGCTGCCGGTGCTTGTTTCTGATCTTTTAAACTCATTTCTTAATTGTCCGTCTGGGATTTCTCTGGGACTGCCCCATTCACTGAAAAAGAACACGCTTTGCCAACTACTGTTAGTGTTCCTCCGTCAGTCTCTGAGAGGACAGGCCAGTAGGACCTGCTACAAAGACTGGAAAGTCAGCTTTAACTTTTATTAAGACTATGTTGCAGAGATGTATAAATTAGCAATTAAAACATACTTGCTCCATTTGTGGTTTCTCTGATTTCTGTCCTAAACTGATTTTTTCAAGGGACTACAAAAGAGGATTTTCTAGGAAGAATGAGGCAGGGGACCAGTTCTGCAGTTCCCTTGTTCACATGCATGTGGAACAGGAACCTGTTCTCCAGCACAGGGACCTGTTGGGCGGCTTCCTTTGTGGCCCTGCTCTGGTGTGTGTGTCTTCGCTAGTCAGCCGTGTCACATATATAAGATAAAGATTTCCACTTGCATGTCAGCTTCTGGCTTTCATACTTCTAAAAATACATTCTATATCATGGGTTATTTCTCCATGAATGTTAGAAGCCGGAAATGCACCAAACAGTCGGGGTGTTGCAGGTGTAGCTGATCGTGTTTTTCACACTAAGGAAAGCATAACCATGGCAAGTCTCCACATCTGCCTGCATCCGCAGCTCTGTCCATGGAAAGGGTTGCTCAGCACATGCGCGTCTGGAATCGACCTTTGCCTGGTATGACGATCACAGACGTCTGTCTGGGAAGCTGGTAGCTACTGGGGGAGATGCTTGCTAAGAGCCCCGCTGGACCAGGTCAAGGGCCCACCCAGTGGGGTTTGCACAGGGGCCAACCCGCTGTCCCCTGGGGGAGCCCGCAGGCAAGGTGTGAGTGGAGGGGCACCCCCCCGAGCTTCTGGGCTGCGAAGGCTCAGAGCTGTGTGGCCCACTAGCAGGGGAGCAGAGGGCTTTGGGGACACGTTGCCATCCAGACCTTTCTCCCAGGAAATCGCCGGACCCCCACTTTGCATCTGGAGTGGTGGTGGCCACTTGTGGAAGCAAATTCCAGAGTTCGGTTCTGTGCCATGCAGAGAATCCTTCCGGAATCTCCCACCCAACAGCTTCAGGGAGGGACCCTTTGGGTTCTAGTATTATGGGAGAGGGTGGGAGCAGTCTCCCCTCTCTACAACATGCATAATTTTCTGCCCCCTCTATCAGGGCTCCCCTTCTTCCCTTTTTACTCACAAGGAATTATTCTACCCCCTTGATAGTTTTGTCTTTTTCTTCACCCTTTCAACCTGTACAATAGCCTTTTTATATGCAGCGACTGGAATTGTACACAGTATTCTGAGTAAGGGTGTGCCAAAGATTTGTGTAAGGGGAGTATTTTCAGTTGTCTTCTAATAGGGACTTGTCTTTTTCACAGCCTCTGTGGCCACAGGATTTTCATCCAGCTGCCAGGCTTTCTTGCCAGTCACTGCTGGCTAAGATCCCATCAGCCGATAGTTGAAGTAGGAATTTTTTGCCCCAGCGTGTCACCGAACTGTTTGCCGTTCTGATGCTTGCTGTCCCATTTGACTTTTTCAACTAATCCCAATTTTTTAAAAAGCATTTCCCCTTTTGAAATCAAACGGGACAGGTGGATTCGTTTGGCAATTGTGCTGACAGTACAGATGCTGAATCTACCCACCTTGTGGTTCCTGTTCCCAAATGAGTTCCACTGACTCACCCATTTCAGCAGCTCTAGACTGAGCTAGTTCTGGGGCTGGACAAGGAAGCAGGAGCTTCCCACTAGAGTAGCATGTGCCCCCCCGTCCCGTCCCGTCCCGTCCCCCAGAGGTGGGATTGTGGCTGATTGAATACTATTTTCTCTCCTGATGCAAGAGCTGAACATGACCTTGAGATGAAGGAAAAACCAGGGACGCATCCAAATAAGACAGCAGTCACAAAGAGTAACTTGCGAGCAGGCAGGAGAGTTACTCTCCCTCCTGAGGAAGGCGGGGCCAATCGGAGCACTGCTTGCTTGGCTTCCTGCCCAGGAGCACCAGCCCGGAGTAGGGGCTGCGCCAAGGGCATCGAGCCCTCGGGTCCCCCTCCCCCGCAGGTGCAGGGCTTCAGCTCACTCCGCCCCACTCGGACGGCTATCCTGTTCCCCTCGAACGTCGCCAAGGTGGGAGGGCCCCCCACCTCTCCAGGCAATGGGTTCCACTGCCGTATTGTTCTGGAATGCAACGGGCTCCCAAGGAGATGGGTGAGGCCCCATCCGTGAGGCTGTTCAATGAAGGATTGGACCACCACTTGTTGGGGATTAACGAGCGGAGCCTGGGCTCAGACGAGACGGCTCGGGAGGCCCCTTCTGACGCGCGCGGTTTCTGTGAAACTTCTCTTTATCTTGCCTGAACCTGGGTTGTCACGACTTGATTACTCCATGTCCTACACTATGTGAGAAGAGATCTTGACCTTCCTCTTTCTGACAGCCCTTCAGGTACTTATATCATGTCTCCATCCCACCCCACAAGCCATGTCTTCTCAAGGCAAAGCTCTATTTCCTTTATAAGAGATCAGGAAGGAAAAAGCACCATGAGCTGAAGGCATCGAGTGCCCTGTGGTGGCATGGTTAACGCCACTGGATCCGATCCTTTCCATATGGTTTGTGATTTGTGAGTGGCTTTGTGTTTTGGTAACCAAATGCGAATGGTAACACATATGGTTAAAAATTGTATGTCATAGTTTTGAGTGATCTCCCTCAGGCTAAAATAGAAATTTGCAATATTGTCTTTTCTCTGCATCCCAGGAATGAAGGCATCAGTCCTTATTATGATATTAGGAGGGTGAGTACCTGGATTTATAGGATTTTAAATCTTTTAAGCCGAGATGCACCGGGTTCTAATATTTTTGTTGTATAATTGTTATATTTGTATATTTTGTTTTTGTTGTGAGCCACCCCGAGGCTTTGCTGCGATGGGGGCGGCATAAAAATGCTTTAAATAAATAAATAAATGTGCAAGGGCAGAGCATGGATGCATTTTAAAGGGTCTCGCCATTCTGAAGCGGACATGTCTGCACAGAGACAGAACCCAAAGAGGATGAAATAGGAAATCAAGCAGCAAGCAGCCGCTTTTCACTACAACTTGGTTACATCTGTTGAAATCAAAGTTGCCCTTTGGGCTGGGCCAGCTTGGCTGCAGTAACTGCTTAAATATGCTCAGAGGAGGAATAAATACAACAGACTAAAATACAATATTTATTCAAACAGGTTTGGACTATTTAGTGCAAGAATCGCGGTGGTTTGCAGACAAAGTCAATGCAGCTTCCAGCTCGTCAGGCCACAAAACTCGCCTCAGTACTGAGCATCCACCAACAGGCGTAAGAATAAGTGAACAGGTTCCCAGCAGCATTACACACCCCACACTCAAACTTTTTCTATTTTGTGAAGCAGCCCAGTACATGGTCTTTCAGAACAATTAAGGTATTTCAGCTCAGAGAATTTTCCCCCCAGATCCGGCTGCTAAACTTATCTGTGGGCAAACAGGAGATCTGCCAGCAATACAAAAATGGGAAACATTGCTGGCTAAAGCAGATATTAGCCATAGCGAGAGACTACAAACACCTCTTCTCTTTAGTACTTGCAATCTAGCAGCTTGCAACCAACCACAGGAATTTCAACTCGCAGAATTAAACTTTTTACACCAACATAAATTTAGTCTGATTCCATTCCTAATTTGCATTACAACAGTAAAATGAAGAGAATACAAGAGAATTGTAACCTTTTTTTAAGGATTAGAAGAGATGAGCTCTCACTGATTCCACTCAACGCCACCATGCAGCAGTACAGAAAGAGTTTTAACTGATGAAATTATAAACAAGAAAGTTGGGAGTTTTACAATATTTGGTTGCAAATACCTTTCCATCTGGTGTGGGATCAGAAAAGGCGATTTCACTGGTACTTAGGCAAGAGCCAAACAAGAATGTACGCCTGGAACAGAAAATAGAGGCTGTCAAGATCGACCAAAGATCCAGCCCTCTTTTTGTACTTAGTAAATTTACTAAGTTTGGAGCCATCCCATTTAAATTTGTTAAAATGAAGAAAGCCTGTGAGGAATGCCCCCTCTCTCCTTCCTGTGTATGTCTAATCAAGTGTGGTGATAAATACATCAAGTATTTAAAAGAAATGGCTCCTTTTACAAAGTACCCTGTACTTTTTGACCCAGAACAGAGAGCAATTAAGTACTTAGTGTCCAGAACAAGAGGTCCCAAGCTTTTCCGTTAGCATTTCTATGCCCTGAAGAGTTGCCGGGGGGGGGGGGGGGGGGGGGGGGGTGTCGGTCATGCAAATCCAGGACTCGACACTGCTGTACATGGTCTGTATGTGAGGACAAGTTTTTCCCTATAAGACCCTGGAGTATTACTATTAAACCACGCTGAAAAAAGCTGTGCCTAAGAACAAGAGTTGTAGGCTATTGCAGGTCAAAGGAACTGCTGAATCCGCACACTTCCTCACCTGAGCACGTCCACCAGGCGACTCGCAATGCGCTTTCTCCGCATCAGGCTGAACACCCAGATCCGGCTGACCCCGCAAAACACCCTCTCCGGCGTCGCTGAGCAGCACCAGGCACGCTGATGCTCCAGGCTGTTCTTAGTGGGAGACTCCAGCAGCGCCGCCGGCTCTGAGAGCACTCGGAACGCCTGGCGAAATGAGGCGAGACACAGATGGGCAAGGAAGCAACAGCGCGCCTCTGCCAAACGCGGACGTACAGGACATGATGTGTCACGCGATATGAGTTCGAACAGGCTTGGCCTAACGTTCACTGGGGCAAGAATTGCAGTGCTTTGCGGGCACAGCCAGTGTGGCTTCTGGGCTCACATCCAGCAACACGGCAAAGGCTTCAGAGGGGGGACTGAAAGAAATGGGCATGTTTAGCCTGGAGAAGAGAAGACTGAGGGGAGTTAGGAGAGCATGCTCACAAGGACCTGACAGGTTGTCACAAAGAGGAAGGCCAGGGCTGCTTCTCGATCATCCCAGAGTGCAGCACAGGAAATAATAGGCTCAAGTTACAGGAAGCCAGATTCTGGCTGGACATCAGGAAAAAAATTCCTGCCGGTTAGTGCAGTACAGCAAAAGAGCCAATGACCCAGAGCGGCTGTGGGCTCTCCCAAATGAGAGGTATTCTAGATGCAGCTAGACAGACATCCGTGGGTTGGTTTAACTTGAGCAGCGGGGTGGACCTGATGGTCGTCTTGGCCCCTTCCACCTCTACTATTCTATGATAAAAGGGCAAGGTCCCGAGGCCAAGAAGTGCTTTCAGTTCAATGGAACTACCAGCAGATCTGGTTCTTAGAAGTAAAGCCGGTGGCCTCATTCAGGTCATGATACTGCTCCATGACTGGATTGCTCACATTTTGCAAAATCACGAGCGCCTCCACGAGGAAGCTCTTGGAAAAAGGGTATGAATTGAACTGAATTTCCACTCTACACCAAAAGTTACTCACCTGCCTGACTGGCTCAGCAATTAAACAGCCAACTATCTTCTTTTCATTAGAGACAAAAAGGTATGTTCGGGTCTGGCTTGGACAGGCCAATGCCCCTTGTTTAAATCCCAGTTCATTATCTACAAGTTTCCGTACTTCTTCAACCTTTGAAATAAGAAGGGGACACACTAAACTCTGCAATTAAATCAGATTAAACTATGCCAACTAGTTTATAGCAGTGGTTCAAAACAATAGATACGTCACTGGTTGACGGAACATTTGGTTGTACGACCGCAGTAAACCTTGAGTAAATCCTAAGCAGCCTTCATGTTTTGGAGCTTGAGGCCTTTGGTAACACCACAAAATACATGACTGGAAAATTGTTCTAAAAACCAACAACTCTATTTTATTAGAAAAGCAGTATTTTAAAAATTCAAACCAAATTTATTCCATTCAACTGTCAAACCAAAGGAAATTAGTTAAAATCTAAATGGTCAGATGGGAGGCCAATTTTCCTAGAAAATAAAATCTTTAAAAATGGTGAAACTTCTACGTCTAACAGATCTTTACACAACTACTAGCAATATTTTGTGCACAAGGAAAAGTTTACTGAAAATAGAAAAATTTTGGATTGTTTTTGGAAGAAGCTTTGAGACAAACAAAAACAGAATAACTTCACATCAGGATAAGCTAGGTTAGGAAAAAACCCTCCGCCTTCCCACCTTCTTGATGGCATATTTTGGATCATTTTGCAGGATCAAGAGGACCTTCCCATCCCAAAATTCTGCAACCACATGTTCGTTCTTCCAGCTCTACAAGGAGAAGAAAAAGAGGAAAACAAATGAAGAGTTGCAAGTGCAGAGTCGGAAGCCAGTGAAGAGAGTTAGAATAAATGACCACTCGGTATTTTCAGCTTCCAGTTTCCTAGAAATTCCCAATTCTTGTGTTTGCATTTCTGGCAATATTGTCTAAAACAAGGTAGCTCGTAAAAGATAAGGAAGCGAATGCAGCTTTTCTCCTACCACGTATTTTATTCCCTCAAGAAGCCTCTGGTGGTGCTGCACGTGGTGCCCTTCGTCCTCGGGGTTGGCGGCTGAGTAGACCATGCCGCAGGATTTACAGGCAGTGGCGCCAAAGTGTTTCTGCCCAGCATCCTGTCAGGACAAAGTGTGTGAGCACGGGATGTTGTTCATGCCAGAGTGAAGGCGTCGGGAAAGAGCAGCCGGTTACCAGAAGGGCTCATGAGAAAAGCCCAGTTTCTGACAGCAAAAACGTGGGCCCGGGCCCTGGCCCAGTAACTGGCACACGCCTTTCAACTGCAGGGCAGCACGGACGGCTCCGCGGCATTCACAGAAATATACTCACAATGGCCATCTGATCTTTCAAGCTCCTGCTCAGTTCTCTCGCCTTCTTGCTGACTCGCTGCACGGCAGGGAGTTTCTCTGCTGCAGAGCCAGGCCCCACGAGTGACAGCTGCTCGTCTCGGAGACCCCATGCCCTGAAAGATTGTATCTGCATCTCACCAACACGGCTGCAGAGAGATGGCGGGGACATGGCTTAGGCCCCGTTCAGCTAACCATTCCACATAAGCCAGCAGGACCTCACGGCAGGGCTGCTGGTTACCTACCCCCCTCCCAAAAGGAAGCCCCCACCCCCCATGCTCCGTTTCCCACCAAGGCCTGTTGCGGCTCCTTGCTGCCGTCGGAGCAGAATTCCCAGGGCAAGTCGTAGACCACGCAATTCTGACCGTTACAAGGAAGAGGTCGTAACCCCCAGAGCGTCACACCGAGAGGCCTCCTCTTCTTGTATGCTATTGCTGCAGAATCCCAGATTCATGTTTCAGATCGCCCTTCTTCCATTACTTAAGCGCCATCGAGTTGTCTCTGACTGAGGACCCTAGGACTGGGAGCCCTCCAGCACGTCCCACCCAACACCCCCGCCCAGCTCGGGGAAACTCCAGGCGTGGCTTCCCTAAGGGAGTCAATGCATCTTCTCTTGGGTCTCCCCGCTCCTCCTCCTCTGACTTTCCCCTGGCATTATCGGCGTCTTCCAGGGGTTTTGCTTTCTCATGATGTGCCCAAAGAATGACGGCCTCAGTTTTGTCACATTTGCTTCTAAGGAAAGTGGCACCTTAACTTGATCTAAGATCCACACCTTCATCTTTTTGGAGGCTCCAGGATATTTGCAAAGCTCTCCTCCAGCACCAGCTTGCAAGCAAATCAACAGCATGCAAGATTTTGGCTTTGATCTCCAGTGAGGCATCCTTACACTTGATTATTTTTTCTAGGTTTGCATTGCTATCCTTCCAAGTCAAATTCCTTGGCTGCAGGTTACATTTGAATTGAACCAAGATATGCAAAATCAGTTTTAGTTTCCTCATTGCTGACATTAAAGCTGTGTAATTCTTATATAGTCAACCTTCTAGTATTTTTTATGTCATTGTCTTCATTATTTTTAACATTAAAACTATTTGTAGCCTGCCATTAATGGAAACCTCTTCCAAAGCAGCTTCCAAAACGTAAGATAAACATTAGTCGCAATAATATAGTCATACACAAAAGCAGCTGAACATAGAAATGGAGTGAGTCAGAAGGGACCTCCCAGGCCATCTAGTCTGACCCCCGGCACCCGCCTGAATGTGGGGAACATTTGCGAAAATCATCGCAGTGCAGCTTCCCATAAACCTGAGGGAAGGTCAGCGAAAACGGCACTGAACATTGCTGTCCATCTGCACACCTCTGAGTCAGCAGGACCCACTTCACGCTCTTGTGGTCTTAAGCCACCTGAGCTGGTTTGCTCCAGTCAGTACACAACTGACTGATCCTGCCTCATCTTGGAAGCTAAGCAGGGTCAGGCCTGGGCAGAAGCGGGATGGGCGACTTGAGGGTATGATTCTATGATTATTGCTGTCAACTGCCTAGAGAGCTTTGGCTATGAGCAGTATAAAAATGTAATAACAACACATTGCGTAGGGAATAGTGACGTTTCTCACATCTTTCTTGCATCTTTCAAGTCCTCCCAAGTCCAAAGACATGACACAGGCAACCCCTAGCATCCTTCAGCCGACAGAGGTCACCTGGACCCACACCCCAAATCATTACCCACATAAGGACACGAGCCCTCAGTAAGGGAGGCAGCCTGAATTGCTATACCTGCGCCAGGGCTAATAAGATGGAAAGCCTTACGCTGCTTTTTAGTTGAGAATCAGATACTGGGAAAAGCAAAGCCTTGGTACAGCAAGGTATATGTGTATGCAGCAAGACTCTTCCCATTTCCATATGATATGAGGCTTCGGCAACCTTAAAACCAGCAGAAAAAGAGGTTGACAAGGAAAAACACCTCGCTTGGGAAAAAAATCGCTTCACCTTCGTTACAGCATCACTTGTGAAAAACAGAACAAGAACGGCGTACCTTTTTTTGTTGCTGGGAGCACCGCTGAATAAAGGATGGATGTTGTCTGTCAAAGATGGCACTGGAGAGAAAAGAACATGAGATTGCTGTCCCCCATTCTAGTTATTTTTGTTATCTATGATGCAGCCAAGGGCTCAGCAGCATGGAAAACACCCTCCAATCAACAGTGGGTTAAGGATCGAGAGCACATTGCTCCCCAAGTTCTTCATTCCAGCATCCCAATGTCCCTGCACATGCTCTAATTTCCAAACAGCTCTGACATTGCTTAAGCTCACCTTTGATAGTTTCACCAGAAAGCTTCCGCAAAGAATAATTCTTACCCCTATTTCTGGGCGATCTCTTGGAGAAGTCTTCAGATCCCTGCAAAAAGACAAAAGCAATTCTAGCAAAGCATTTTCACTGGATCGCTTTTGATGTCGATTCCATGGCATGGTCTGAAGATGCGGCGATTTGTGGAAGTTTGGGTGAATGCCAGATGGGAACACCAAGAAACTCTGTCCACTGCCTTGAACTCCATGCAAGAAAGGTGGGATATGAAGGAAATAGAAGAAATTCCTGTATTTAGTCTCGCTTTACTAGTAGCTTAAATAGTAGGCCAACGTGCGTGATTCATCTTGGCGTGCCGTGAACAGACTGCCGGCTGGTGCAGGCGGCCCCTTTGGTCCACCTTGTCCCTCCAGGTTGCAACAGCAGGTAAGAAACAGGAAGTGGCAGCTTCGCACCGAATGAGCCAGGTCACGAGCAGGAAGGCGTCACTTCCTGGTTCTCGCTCACATGGACAGACAGTGTGCACCTACTTATTTGTATGTGCTGCAGACACATACATGTTGTCATATTGAACAAGACAAAGCATCCAGATCAGTACATCAGTGGCTGTAGGTTGTATTCAGTGCTGTCGGATCTGTCGGGCTCTTTGATCTATCCATCATTTCTGTGAAGAGAATGGGCCAATTTGCACCAATTCCAGCTTCCTCCTGGAACCCCTCCACCACCTTTCCATCTTCTGCAAGGTCCATTATCCCCTCATAGAAAAAATGCTTAGGGCCTGCAAACTGAAGGGGGGAATAGGCAAACATCCCTCTGTTCACAAAAGGTTCCACTGGATCAGAGCCTTTCTTGAGTCACATTATACTCTGCTCCTGGATACAATTCCCTGTCTGCAAGCTCTGCAAGGCCACCAGCCGGGCTACTTGGAAAAGCAAGCAGACTGGTCTTGGTATTCAAAAGCTGCCAATTAATCCCGTGTTTCCCCATGTTAACAGGATAGGGTGACAATGATCCCTTAGCTGTTACCAGTAGGATTCCTTGGGGAAGAGCCCCGGGGGGGGGGGGGTCCCGTTACTCAGTCAGCCATTTCCCTTGACTGAGAGAAGAACCAAAACTTCCAGGTCCAGCTCTAGCCTAGGCCTGTAAGAAAAGCGGGACATGCACTCCCAGAAAAAAGGACATATGCTTCTTGGTCACCATTATACAGCCCCATCAGACTAGACTAGTCTAGTCAGGCTCAGGCTAACTGAAAAGTCTAGGGTGGGGGGCACGTGGTCCAGCAATGAGCTGAGGCTCCATGACCCCTGCAGAGTCACAAAACACCTGCCTAAATTAGATCAAAAACTATTGGTGCCAGACTAAGGCAGGCTGCAACAGGGAGCACCTGCACTTAGTGCTGGCCCTTCTCCAGCCAGAATGTGAAATACTGGCGACAGCACTTAAAGCCCTGAATGTTGAGACCCTCGTGCTTTTCCGAACCACCTTCTCTCTCATACAAACCTGTCTGAACACTGCAGTCATTTTCAAAGAACCCCTTTGCCAGTAAATGTGCGGTGATTCCAGCAAGGACATTTCAGGCAGATGGTCTCAAGTGCAAGACCTTTCCAGAAGCTTGTCCGAAGCTAGGCTTAATGTCATAGAATCATAGAATAGTGGAGTTGGAAGGGGCCAGGAAGGCCATCTAGTCCACCCCCCCCCCACTGGTGCAGGACACCAGGTCACACCACCCCACTCGGGTGGCTGCCCAGTCTCTTTCTGAACGTCTCCAGTGTGGGAGAGCCCCCCACCTCTCCAGGCAGCTGGTTCCACTGCTGTATTGCTGACAGTGAGGAAGCTTTTCCTCATGTCCAGCCTGGATCTGGGTTGTCGCACCTAGGTCTTGGTGTTTATGCCGTTTATTTAAAATAAAAGGTGCTGTAATTTTTTAAGTAAATAAATGACAATACACTGTCCTTGATATCTGAAAAAGCTACAAGTTACTCCAGTATCCTTAATCAGCAGATGAAAATCTGAAAAACATCAGTACAAGAACTTTAACACGCTAACAATCATACAGCAACGGTATTAACCTGTTCACACACAGTATATTGTAATATCCAATATCCCTTGAAAATAGAAAACCTTGTCCACAAATCGATGGGTTAAAAACTGGTAACAGAATTCAAATTGAGAGGAAACTCAAAGACAATATAATCCAACTAATGCTAAATGCAAGAGGTGCAAGGCCTCAGTGGTCCAACCGATGGCCTTCCTGACTCTGCATAAATACCTCCACTGAGGGAAAATCTTAGTATACAGTACACACGTTAGCAGCTTACGCCAGTTTTACACACCTGGGTCCCAGCATCCATTTCCTTCTGAGTCAGCCCTTTTGAGCAGCCCACAGGAGTTTCTAGGAGCCTAGTATTCAGTTCACACACCATCTCTCTTTTCTGGCTGGCATTCTGGCTCAGTTTTTCACCATCCTCCGTGTGATCACAAGTTTCCTCTTGCAGAAGAGCATGTTCTTCCCTACCAGCCTCATTCATGCTGCTTTCGGGGAGCACGCGAAGGTCAGTGTGAGTCAGAGGCCTGTCCTGCATCTCTTTTTCTGGAGGCTTGCTGACAGAGGAGAGGGATGGTGGAGATGAAGGCACCTTCTTGGATGCACAGTGCCATTTCTTTCTGGTGGCAAAGAACGCTGCCCCCGTTTGGAGTTTCAGTGCAGGTTTGAATTTCATGCTTAGGACTCTGAAAGGAGCATCCATTTTCTTTTCAATAGTGCAATTAACACGCTCCTTCTGTTCAACAGCCTTGGGAGGGGCAGCCTCCACACGGGCCTTTTTGGTATTTCTTGGCAAAGTTTTGAGCTGCCTGGAAGAAGGTGGGCGCTTGGCTGCTTTTGAGTTTGGATTCCTGGCTGTCAAAACCTTCACCTGGGCTACTTCTGTCTTATTAGCAATAGGTAGGTTTCCATCATCATTACATGGACTAAGAGGAAGGCTTTCATTTGCCAGCTTCCTTTCCAGCAAGTTTTGGAATTGCTTCGCTTTGCTATAAAAGGAGCTGGTGGGCACAATCGAACTGTATGTGGCACCAGACTCTGGGGACATTCCCTGTGGGAATGCTCTTTGTATTCCCTTTGGCACATTAGCTGTCTGTAGTGGAGAAGTGTGAAGTTTCTGTGATTTGGTTGACTTTTGTGGAGAATGTTGGTTTTCTTTGCCTTCATCTTGGAAGTTTGATGTTTGCTTTATTGGAGATATAAAACTGTGATGCGCAAGTACTTTATCTGCAGGCAACTTCTCAGTGAATTCCATCATCAGTTTTTTCACCGGATTCCCATATGCAAACCGCAAGCTATAAACAATCAAGTTAATATTTCACTGTTTACTTACTTCAGAATGAAGTTTCTTTTCTGTGTTCAAACTGTTTAGAAGGTAGCTCATTATTCTACCACTTCTGAAACTAGGACTGTCTTAATGGATGCAGAACTACAGCTGAGAACACTGTTGTCCTTTTAAATTGGAAACAAATGAGAAACTCACTACTCTATTGACCCTGAGGTAGCTCAACATTGCCCTGTTAAACAGGGGAAAGAGGAAAAGCTTATCCTTGCCGCCTATAATTCTAGATCAGTTGTATGCAGTTGATGAAGCATGATTTCATAGCAATTCTATTCCATTGCATTCCAGTATGAAAAGCTTTCCCCACCTATGTCACCCGTGGCTTTTTCCTGCTTCTCAGCAGCTGCAAATAGCAGTCTTCCTAACGCAAGAGAAATTCAAAAAGTTGATCGTTTGTGAAAGCCTCACCCATCAGAGCTGCGTTTCCTTTTCCGTGGAGTAAGAGCTGCCATGGCCTGAGCGGAGCACCTGCAAACCAGCGCCGTTGTTATTAAAGCGCCCCCGCGGCCGCTCCTCCTGCGAGGACCCCAAGTCGGCTCCCACGACCCTTTCCTCCCCGCGGCGGGATCCTGGCCGACGAACGAGGCCACGAGGGGAGCCGCGCTGCCAGCGGGGCTGCGCAGGCAGGTGGGAAGGACCCACGGCCGGGCCGGCTTCCCACGTTCCCGCTCCCCGCGCCCGCGGGAGCCAGGGCCTCGCCCGCCCGCCCGCGTCCCCCGGCCGAGGCCTCTCCCTGGGCGGCGGCGGCGGCGGCGGCGGCGGGGGGTCGCGCAAGCGGCTGCCCGACCTCAGGCCCGCCCCCGCCGGCCGAGCGGAGCCGCGTCCCCGGAGGCCCGC